AGAAATTAAGAACTTTTTTCCATTTTAAATTCATCGTGACCGCCGGAAAAATACACAAGAGATTTCAAATAAATATTTATCAATAATTAATAATTCTTCCCAAGCCGCTGTAGAAGTTATTGGTTGGCCAGTATAAGATATATTGCCATATTATATATTAATGATTTGGAATAATGCACTATGAGTACAATGTTTTTTCGCTTCTCTGAATTGTGAAGCCTGCATCCATTGGCACTTGGCCAAGCTAGTATTATATTCGTATTATTGTTTTTTTTGAAAAAAAAAAAACCTCGTGTCATGTGTATTTTAAGTTTTATAAAGACATTCATATTATAGTTTTCTTTTTATTCTTGTTTGCACTTGTCTTAAAAACGTTTTATTTTTCGAACAAATAGTTTAATTTTGTCAAAAAACTACCATTTTGCCGAAAAAAATACACTGTTTGACGAAATGTACACTCTGTTWAATTATGTCAGTTAATATATAAGACAAATAAGGCGACAGTTTGTTTTTTAGCGTACAAAATACCGAACCATCTGTTTAATTGTAGTTCTACTATTGTTAAACACAAAGTAAAGAATAAAAATATAAACCTCCTAATATAACAAGCTCATGAACTTTCAAAAGCATTAAAATTCGACCTACAGACAATCGCCAGTCTTATATTTCTCATTTAAAGCACTTGAATTCAACCTCTTCATAGTTTAACTTGAATTGACTGGCTGTCATGTCAAGGAGTTTTTATTAAGATWACGTCAAAAATATTTGTTTTAAACGCACGAATTTAAATTTGTTTACAGCTACAAAGTGTTTTTTTTAACTAATTTAACTGGAAAATTTAATCTTTTACAAGAAACTATACGTATAACGATCGAAAACAACGTTTGTAAAAATTTACAGGGAAATTACTGACAGGATTATATGAAATACAGAGTTTGTAAMAGAGCTAGGCATCAAAATTTCCATACCAATATATTTAGATTTTTCATATCAAGTAAGGCCTGACTATTGCCATTTTCCATATCTTGGTTAAAGATAATAAGTTGTAACGCGACTTATAAAGGCACGTATTGAAACCTGTTRTTGGCCGATCTCTTCTCACTAAGTTGTTATAAAGGCGAAGAATAGAACATGCATTAATCCAATTGCTTCATTTGACAAAGTGATTTTAAAACTAGAGTTCAATACGAATCTTCGAAATAATAAAGTAAAACGTCATTAAATAACTGTTTTTATCGAGGATTTTTTTAAATCTCATTTAGAATCTCATTTTAGAGTGTCCTCAGTTCAAAATATTCAAATACTTTTTAGTTTTTTTTTTATAACATTGCTCTGAGGATGTCTTTTTACTCTGACAAGAGACTCCAGAGCTTCAAAGGACAATAACGCTCATCAGAGAAAAAAAAATGCTTTCCAAAAGTTTATAAGTGCGAATTTGTTATTTTAATGTCAATTAGCGCGGGAAAAAAATGACTGCATTTTCTCAAGTRCATGTTTTAAAGAAAAGGCACATCTGGAGAAACTCTTTGGAATTGGTTTTCAAKATAACAGAGCTACAGTTCAAARTAKAACTTTTAAGTCAAACACCTAAAATTTTCAGTAGCCGGTACACGGTTTTTGTCGGAAAATTCTGACAACTTGGACWTTTTTCAATTTTTTTTGAACTGTGTGAGCTACATGCAGAGAATATGGCTTTTACTTGGTCATTCAGCAGCTGTAACCTATTCTAATGTGCAATAAGAATACTATAGGTTCCTGCTGTCTGTTATTCCCGTTTCTTTATCGATTTTTATYCAAACTTCCTAACAGCTCAAAGAAAAGGAACAATATAAGAAGCTTCCCCGAAGTGCGACTTTTCACTCAGACGGTAAACTTCGCAACTTTGATCAGTTCACTTCAAACGCAGGTTTTTCAATACAATATATGAACTGCATTCCCATCAYAACGTTTAACAGCATTTTAACATTTTACCTTGTCTTCGCGGATTTGTTGAAACAACCCCTCTTCACTGTGAAGAAGCCGTTYCCCGTTACATTTATCCAGAAGTCCAAAAGCATTAAGCTCGCACGTTGCGAGTTTAAGCCTGAAATTATACGAAACACAGTTATCGTCCATTCTGCATCTTGAAATGCAGCCCAACCAGTCGATCCCTTTCAAGGTGCAAGAGTGCTTTGAAGCTGTTAACGAAGTTACCAGTATTTTATTATGTATAACTTGTGATGGAAGAAAATTATCACCCGAAAGATGAACTGCCTGAGAAACTTGAAAGAGAAGGCATGATATCGCTATCTGGCTGAAGAGGTACATCATTTGTGGGTGTCTGAAAAGCGATAACTGATGGAAATGGCTGTGATGACGATATCCAGCGCAAGATATAGCTAATTGAAGAACATTCACTTAAAGATGTTATATTTATGTTAATGTTTCGTTGCTTCAGGCGCTATTGGTTTCTTCCGCGAGGAGGTCTCCGTGTTTAATTCATTCGCACTTTAATCAAGAGTTTAAGAAAAGAATGACGAAACAAAATACAGCCCATTCGAATGAATAGCCCCGAAAGTACTATATGAAATTGTCAATCTTGTATATTCTTTATAGCACCTTTGTATGTCTCAGACCTTTGTTTATTTAACTAATAGGATAAAACTAATTTAAGCAAGGAAGTAAGGAAAGCACGAAGCATTTCCGAAAGTAAGGAAAGATGACGTTTTTGACTTTTGCTATAATCGATCCTTTTTACGTAGCTCTTGAAGGAAACCAATCAGCATTAATGTTTCGTTCTAGTATTGTGGTTGCCATGGACTTTTCTTGGGGGAAAAATGATCTAWTTTCTTAATTTAACCAATACAAAGTGAAAATATAATTAGAATGTTTAGTATTGTTTTGCATAATGCACACGAACAAACAAATCTTTATTGGGTTTGATGCGGTGCAACTTAAAATCCGCAAGATAGGAGAATATTACTGTCGGACCGTCTGTAAATCTTTAGTGACATATCGYTGACAGAATGGATTATATATATTTTGTTTGTGAGCCTTAAAGCACATTTATGTCGATAAGCCTGAATTRCAAGCAATTAACTTATCAAACAAGACAAAAAACATACAAAAATAAAACAATTAAAAAAACCGACACACAATCGACTGAAAAATTGATTGTAAAATACGAGATTATAAAAAGTCAAGAAAAAATATAAAAACACTGATTTCTCTATTTCTTCCCGAAAGCATCATTCAGAGGCAATTATTATTCTAGTGTTTACAGTTTAGGAGCACTCTTCCATCCAGAAGGCTTCCACCAAGAAATTTAATAAACTGTCGAATGATCAAAARCATAAAAAAGAGCATGTTACATAAACAGTCTTTGCAATAAATACACAGAAATATAGTCCAGCCATACATCTTCGCATATGGTTATTAAAATCACTCTTCTACCAGAAGGCAAACACTCCTTTAAAACACCCAAACATAATTTGCATAGAAATGAAAATTAAATTTGATCAATTCTTAAGGGTTTTTGTTAAACAAAATAAATACAAGAACACTTAGAATATATAAAAAATAAGGGTGGTTGAAAGATATAAACGGACGTTTCTAACATCAAATCTTTTCCAGCTAATTTGAAACCTATCTTAGTAAGATAAAGCTGAACAAACAGTATGTTTGTTAGTCATTTTTTTCAATAAATGCTTTCTACTTGTCGTCTAATTAGTGATTTCGATGAACATTGAGATTAAGAAAGTCCAAGCATTTTAAGAACAATGAATTTAAGACCCTTTATTTCTGTGCTCGATATATCGTGAACCTGGATGCCGGGGGAGATTGGGGCGTGCGTAAAGTTTTCCTCGCGCCAAGTCCCCGTGGGCTCCAATTCAGAAACTCTCAGTTCGAAGCTAAAAAGGATACTCTTATATGAGTGTCCTATTTTAAAAACACCTCATTTAAGAGCATCCTGTTTTGTAATGAACTTATTTGAGAGTGTCTTATTTTCAAATAACCTTATCCAGGAGGAGCCGACGGGGTCTGTTCTTCTAAATAGCTGTTCTTATACATTTTTCCTGGGAAAGAGATTTTGAACTAGAATTTTGACAAGCAACTGTGGTGACCTTCCAGTCTAGGAATTACTCTCCCGTTGGGTCGCTAAAGCAGTTTCAAATATTTAAAAAATATGCAATATAGTATGATTTTTCTTCCTGAAATGGACGTAAAGAGTTTCCTGGGAAACATTCTTTGAACGTATTCTTCTCCTGGAATGTATTATATTTTTTTGGCAACCAGTTGTGACTTACAGCTGGCTGGGAAATAAGAAGAGATATATTTTTCCCAGGAAACCGTCGGCTTCTCTTGCTTATGTAAGAGTACCCTGTTTTTAATTCAAAGTGTAAATCAAATCACCTTAGAAAGTTTTTCAGGTTTTACCAGTGAAACGAAATGTGTAATAGTCATTGAATAGTCTATTGTAATAACTAAAAAAACTAACAGAAAATGAAATGAATCCGCTGAAGTGTATGAAAATCATGCATTCTGAGCATCAGCCATGCGTTAAGAGACTAAAATACTTGAAAGTAAACGGACAAATGACCGTACTGTTATTCACAGTATAACTTAATTCTGASCTTATGAAGCCTATTTCAAATTTAATGTCTTTAGTAGTCGCTATTTAGCATTTTTTGTGTTATCAGAGGTCTTTCGGATAACTCGAGAATACTACCTCTCACACCGCCATTTATGAGAATCTCGCCAACAGATGTATCCGACGGTGAAAATTTGTAATCCTTCCACGTTGCATTTCCAGCTCGAAAACACCAAACATCGACAAAATCATAAGCGTAGACATAACGGCGCTTATGCTGGTTTGCAGTCGCAATATACTGGCTTGCGTTGACGACGTAAACACAAGTGCAAGAATAAGAAAAAGGAAGTGTCTTTTATCGTTGTGCTTATATCAGTACTTGTGTTGGGCATTCCAAAACTGCCGCGCTCTTATCAGTTGGCAGTAGCAACAGAGTTTTATCTGCTCTTGACCTCTRTTTGCGAACGTAATCCTGGACAATAATTTACATTTCAAGGTTGCTAAGTTGTCCGAACTTGAAGTCGCTATTTACAAGCAAGGTACGGATGCTATTCAATCGCATTTAAAACACACTGAATTCCTTGTTAGAAGAAGCTCTGGTGGACGTGTATTGAAAGAGAGGTTGAAAAAGGTAAGAGTTCGTGAACGCTACGAAAGATTTTTGTTTGTGTAAAGAATTATAGACAAGAGACTGTAACAAAAAAAGGAGCTGTACGTTGAGTCGAGTCGCTCTTGTTCTGTCTTCAATGGGAGTTTATAACAWTTCTGTATAATAGTCCCACAYGCTGGTACACTGTAYGCCATTTTGGTTTAATCATATCGAGAAATAGTTGTTTTATAAACTTATTATTCCAGAAACAGCTTTGTTTTTGTTTTGTTATGCGTCACAATCTAGACAATAGTTAGATATGATCAAGTGATTTTATACAAAGTCCTTAGTATTTTAGTGTAAAATCCTTTCAACGGGGAATACTTGTGCACGCATCTCACTACGATATATATAATGCCTATTGATAAAGCCAGAAAATATAGCGATGATAACATAAGGGAAATGTTAAGCACTTTGATTTACTTATGTACTGAAATTAACATCAGGATRAATGTTCTTTATGTCAACATTGTCAGAATGTTCAGAATGTTCTAGTCTAGAACTTTTACTTGACCTGGAAGTTGCGGTACAGTGCAAAATATATTTCTTTGTTATTACCCACCCAAATGTAACATTTTAGTCTAAGCATTTTGCAAGCTGCTGACGAAGTAAACTACAGAGAGGGTAATAGAGCGGATTTCGTATGAGTGGGACACCGTTACCGCACGGTTACCGCAAAATTTTGGCGAACCAATGAGACACTAGAATTTAGTTGAAGTACGATTACGGTCACAGTACAGTACCGTCCGCCGGACGGTTTCCCACTCATACGAAATTTGCTCTACGATATACGTGACGCGGAAGCTTTGACGGAATCTTATTTGGTGACTTGAAAGTAAAAATTAATTGACTCACATTATAATGTGTCACTTACATCATAGTTAATAGTAATACTAACTATGTAATAGTAATACTAACTATGCTTACATTTGGTTATAAATCTGTGCCTTCAAGGGCAATAGAACTAATTCCAATTGTTGAACGATGATATTGGCCTTTGGATTTTTCGACTTTTCAAGCGAGTGGTAATGAATTGAACTAATTTGTGTGTTTCGAACCGGTTTTACTGTTTTTAGAGTTTTCTCACCTGAATCAGAATGGGTAAGAAGGACACCAAGAAAAAGGATGAATCTAAAGAAACGAAATCCAAAAAGAAGAAAAAGGACGATGTTCCTCTTGTGCACATCAATGGCAATGCTGGCAAGGAAAACGAGGGATTTGACGAGGAGGAAGAAGAAAAGCACAATATCGACAAAGCAAAAAAAGTAATAAAATATCTAAGAAAAATTGCTCTATTTTATTATGACGTCACATCAAAACATTCTATTGTCATAACGCGATTATGGTCGACAGAAGGGATCAGGGTGACTGCATATCAAYGAAATATCAAYGAAATATACATGAGCAGTCTTTGAAACATGACATTTTACAAAATACGATACATTGAAGTTCTACTTGATCGCAGAGAATATAAAATGGGTCCAAATKTCCACTTTTTTTTATCATCTTTTTCCGATCAGTTTTGAGAGAAAAGACCACATGGAAATAAAAATAGGAGTAAAGTGAAATTGAAAAAGCGARCCGATAAAAAATGGGGAAAAACGAATGTGAAAAAAGAGGGAAAGGRAAAAAAATATAAATCACTCTCTAACATTAATAGGACGGGTACGGTCGCAATGGTTCGATTTCATACCTGCAGTTTTCCAGTTATAGCTCCTCATGTGAGAGTCTCAGTCGGGGTAGATATCATAGCTAACTCGATTATGTCCTGATGTGGGACCYTTTCATKATCGTGTACCTGTYAGTATTCATCATCAAGATTCGCAGYCTATGAATAGAAAGAGAAATGAAWTTAGAGATACGCAGAATGAAAGCTACAGCAAAAAAATTGTTAATGGAATTGTTCTGGTTCGTTCTCAGAAGAAAATCTCGAAGCCAGAACAGCTTTGTGCGGCTGCGTATTCAGGGCAAAAGGAGGATGTCGAGAAGCTACTTGACAAAGGAGTAGGTATGTTATGATACAAAATTATCTAAATGATATTACTATTCCTCAAATGCCCATTGCGCTAATGGCTGGTTGTAAGATGGGAGAGTAGCGCCATCCACCSGATAAATCCTTATCCAGAAGATAAAGTCCATACAAAATCTAAGGGGTGGAGAACTTCATCCACTCCATGTACAACAGGCCYCTGAGGTGGATAAAGCTWGTAAATACAAGATATAAAGYCATGTATTTCCTKTGGTATAAGTAAGGATATATTAGGTGGATACAGCACATATCTCGATCCAGTGTGATARGAAAGTTATTATACATTTTATTTTCAAGGAGTTGATATAACTCCAAAAAAGAAGTTAAAAACGTTATCAGATAACTCCTATTTCTGGGGTAGATTTAACTTCACCAATTTTRACAGCTGCACCTGTGGGAGTAATTTGGACTCCTCTTCCAAGAGTAATTTAAATTTAGACCCCTTTTGACCCCTTTTGGAGTAATTTTGACTCTCTTTCCGAGTTGATTTGAACCTCTGGAGAAAAAACTACTCTCATTGTAGATTTAACTTTCTTTAAAGTTTCTCCGCCAAGTAAAGTAACTTTAATTCCACTGGTGGAGTCATTTAAACTTCTTGAAAATAACAGTGCATACCTCTATAACGAAAACGCTGTTATAATATAGCGAGTCTTCACCTACTACTGGTGTTTCTAGTTAATTCATGTGTCTTAAATTCTCGATGTGAATCACCTACAATTCACTCATACGTTTTTTCTCGTGACTTTTTCCCGACATGCTTCTAGACATCAACTACCGTGACGAGTATGGCAAGTCTCCCCTCCATCATGCTACATCCGGGAAACAGCATCAAATAGTTGAGTTGTTACTGAGACGAGGCGCTGACGTCACACTACAAGATCAACGAGGGGACACTCCTCTGCACGCTGCTGTAAGGGCTGGTGACGAGCCGTCTGTCAAGGTATTGTTTTGATATATACATAGATATAATGATCCTTCCCTTGATGACGTCATGTTTGTTTCGGCGAAATGCATCATGGTATTGATAAAACTGTTGTTTATTATTTCAGACATTGCTAAGTAATGAGCGGTGTAACGTAAGCGCCGAGGGCCGAAGCCTGTGTACACCACTACATATTGCATGCGGCATGGACAAATTGTCCATTTGCCGAGTGTTGGTAGGTACTTTGTGTCTGTCTGTCGTCTATGTTCATCGGTTCTCACAATAGTTACATAT